TTCCAAACCAGTTGGTAAGCAATAGGAACCCAGTACAAGATGTGTTCCCATGTTCCCATCTTTAAAAATACTTGATCATCATAATCACATGGATATTTTCACGTTTAGTTGACACGTTGGATACTCCTGAATATCTAAAAATTATGTATGTTAATGTACGTTTTGTAAATCGTATATATAATTTCGTAATAATACTCGTACAAAAATTGCAATTATACCTAATATTTCCAATATGTAGTATAGTAGTATTTCCGTCAGCTACTCAAATAAACCACTAAAATAATTGTGTATTATCGTAGTTTCAAAAAGATTCAATTAATAATTGTGTATAAACTGAATCTTTTTGAAACTACGATAAATTATAACTTGTAATCCGTTAAAATATTGTCTCAATATTTGTGATGCTAGTTTAAGTCAACGCGCTTTGTAAAATAATTAAGCCAAAAAGCATTGTGTCGAATCAAACATACTATTAACACGGGTATCTAACTAATAAATTGTCCTACTATTTAATTAAATATAAGCTTGACGATTCTTGTTTTGAAACCAGCCTATATGATGTATCTATTTTTTATGATATTAATTAAAAACAAATTTTATAAGACAAACGAGCACAATGTCCACCTGATGGTGAGTGGATACTGAGTCCCATAGACATCTACATCAATCCTCGATCACGAATCAAAATGCAGATCCGTTGTTACCCGTGAGAACTAAGATTGAATGCCTCATTTCCAGTAAAAATGGTCTCCGGTTCTCGACACTCACCATACGAAACTCAGCGGCATTAAGCTGCCATTTTACGCTGGTATTCTATGAGAGCGTGGTCATTCTTGCTACAATTATACTAATAATATAGCTGTAACATGACTCTACCACGTAATTTTATTACTCACAAGTCCACTGCAGAACATAGGCCTCCCCCTAGTAATGCCACAAAGGATGGTCCTGAGCCACCTGCATCCATCGACTTTCTGCATGTCTTACCAGGTCGTCACAGGAGCCGTGATACACTTCACCTATTAAATTATAAGTATGCAGAGTTACTATTTTCACTTTAAGTAAGTACCTAGTTCACATTTTGATGCTCCTGTAAATCTTGGGTGCCAAATTTCGCAATCCTCCATGCGTCAAATATTCCTAAAAAAGTTTACAAAGTTTTCCTTTCACGTATTTATATATAGATTTTATCTCAAATAATAAAATGTTTCCGCTAGCTAGTATTCCGCCAGCTACTCAAACAAACAATTAAAATGTTTGTGTTAAAAGATTTAGCTGAATCATAAAATTAGAACTAAGTTAAAATTTGTAATCTGTTAGAGTACAGATCAGTAATGCTAATTTTGAGTCAAAGCGCCTTGTGAAATAAAATTTCATCAAAATTGGTCCTGTCGTTTTGGAAGAGTTCAGTCACACGCATACGGACAGAAGAATTATTCTATCGATATATCGATAAATAAAATTAAATATAAAACTTCGATATTGATATATATTTATAATTATCAATATATCAAAAATTCAATATTTTAAAAAATATCAACAGTTTTAGTTTGAACTGATCAGTTGGAATGATCAGTTGAACTCACCGTGGCGTCTATAATTTGTAGGTACAGTAATCACTTAACAAAACACGGAATCGCAGTGCGCCGTGGGCAGGACCGGGCCGGGGGCAGCGCACGTCGGAAACGGCAAATACAAGGACCGGATGTAGTCTTACAATATTTTTGTTATATTACGAAAGTTGTATTAAATTTCAAAAAAATTATATTAGTTTAATTATAAATGGATTTTAATTAATTTTATTTATTGTAATTTGAAGTTTTGAATAAAATCAATAGGCGGAGATTAATTTACCACCGGTAATGGTAATTTGTGTGATTCTTCATGGGGGTACATGTAGTATGACTTACAGATTCGAGACGTGGTCCTTCACTGCTGGCCGTATGAGGACGCTCAAGGTCGCTCAGCGAGCTATGGAGAGGGCTATGATCGGTGTTTCTTTGCTGATAAACCTAGAAATAAGAATATACGCAGTAGCACCAGAGCAACCGATATTACGCAACGGATTTGTAAGCTGAAGTGGCAATGGGCCAGCCATATAGCTCGAAGAACCGACAACCGTTGGGGAACAAAAGTTCTCGAGTGGCAGCCTCGTACTGGTAGGCGTAGTGTAGGGCGACCCCCGACTAGATGGAGTAACGACCTGGTGAGACATGCAGGAAGTCGATGGATGCAGGTGGCTTAGGACCGTGATTTGTGGCATTACTTAGGGGAGGCCTATGTTCAGCAGTGGACTTGTGAAGGGCTGTAATGATGATGATGAATGATAATTTATATTATTTAGAACAAGGTAATCTCTAACACAATAGTCTGATATTAATTAATCACCGGAAATGGTAATTTATGTTATTGAGAATAAGGTAACCTCTAACACAAAGCAAACTAAAATCCGTTGCGTGCCGTGCGTGCGGTGCGTCCGGCACGGGCCATTGAGCGCGTACGACGATTTACAACTTCATTTTGTGGGGTACTGAGTTGTGCTTGAAATACTATATATATATATATATATATATATATATATATATATATATATATATATATATATATATATATATATATATATATATATATAATGTAAAATGGGTCTATAGAAAATTACAGCATGCTCTGAAAATTATTAGTGTTTCGTATTGTGAGTGTAGGGACACAAGACATTCCATCTTATTACTTAGTGGTAACAACGCATCTGCATTTTGATTCTTAATCGAGGATAAATGTAGAAGTCTATGGGCAACAGCATGTACTTACCATCAGGTTGACTGTGTGCTCGTTTGTTACTCTTATTATATTATCTTATATAAAATAAAAACTCAGGTATGTCATGCTTATTTAAGTGTCTTTGCCCGCGGCGGCGTCATGACGGCTCATCAACTTCTCTTTAAAATGTTTGAAGGCAGATATGGTTGCCACATGTTTCATACTTGTAAATAGATTGCAACGTGCAACACATTTATTAGCTTATAAAAAATAATAACAAAAAAAGAGGACAACTGCGGAGTTTCTTTCACCATTCTTCTTCAGACAGAGGAACCTTGTTTTTAAACTAAATAGTTAGAAAATAAAATAAGTTTTGAATAATAATTTTAAATAAATAGTACCTTGAAACTCTAAACCCAAATTCACTTAATGGAGATGCGAAGTACCAGTGCAATGGTGTCGGTTATCCTCTGTCTAATCCGTCTTCAAAGCACTGAGAGTGTAGGCAAATCTTATAAAATGTAGCCTTTGGCAGCTATATGTCGACGATGATAGTTATGTCAACTTCATCGGGTAAACGAGAGAGGTAGAGAGAGTAGAGGGTAAAACGAGCATTGAGTTAACTGGGTTCGTATCTAAGGCTGTTTCTTGATTGGTCTGAAAGACAATGTTATATATATATATATATATATATATATATATATATATATATATATATATATATATATATATATATATATATATATATATATATAGTACGCTAAAAGTACTGTAAAAGCTCCTTTATTTGCGCTTCCTTTATTCGCGTTTTCACCATTCGCGGATTAAAAAAATGCGACCCGATTCCTACATTCGCGGCTAAAGATTTCTTTATTCGCGGATCTAATCGATACATCGGTACATACATATTAATGAAAAGGATTCAAATAGGTATCCAACCCAACATCCTTTGTAAAAGCGTCGACAAATCGACTAATAAAAAAGTAAAATAGACCTTATTACAACTATGCCTAAAGTATGTTATTATATGATATCGCTGCTGTATTGGTTCGGCAAAACATACAATATATTTTTAAATGCTGCCATATATTAGATGTTCCGTCCTTCGGTAAGAGCTGCTTTATTGTTTCATCTTTCCATTCGTTACAAAAATTGTGAACGAGTAACACGTCTCTACTCTACCGCTGTCTTCCTAATTTATAATGTCGACAAAAAAAAAATGAAAAACGAGTTTCAACAAGCACTGAAAATTTACTGACATTTAATTTGAAAAACATTAGTGAAGGTTTATGAATGGCAAATGAGCTTTGTGATTTCTTTATGAAAATTGATACGTTTATGAAACGAAGTCTTATTTTTAAGACGCAAATTATTAATGTCACTGCTGAATATCAGTCTCAATTGAAGCTTTTAAAAACTGCTAAGCAAGAAAAAATCCGAAATTCCTTAAACCATTGCCTAAGCCGGAAGATAAAAATTAATCAATATGGTCAAAAACTTCAATTAAATTGATTTTTTTATATTTTGTTTTTTAGTTTATCACCTAGGAACGTATTCTCTATAATCGTATATAAATTACGATTTCATATTCACGGTTTCTGTATTTCTGGAATATTTATGGAACATATACCCCGCGAATAAAGAGCTTTTAGTGTACTGAGCCTTTGTCACGCGCATATTAAACAATACAGTCCCTTCAACCTCCAGAGATTGTACCCTGACCCTGAGAGCAAATTTGCGTCACGTTGTTGTTTATAATATTTGTTGTATGTGGTTTTATGTAGTGTTTTTGTAACCATTTCTTTTTGTGTATACTTGCTTGAAAATATTTTTCTTTATACAGGTAAAAGTTAAACCCTTAAAATTCATAGTAAGACGAGAAAAAGAGTTGAGGTGTAGGCAAAATACATGTGTACAAAATAAAATTTGAGAAAGAAAATACGTCAGCGCACATTCGAATCTAATTATTTCGTACAAATTGTACTAACAAGAGTGACAGCTTGAAAAACTTAAAACAATACAATCATGTTGCGTCCTTCAAGCTAAAATCTTCCCCAAGCATATTCTTAGTATTATTACGTCAAGACTTAGTAAGATATTGGTGACGTATCATGTTATCATTACAATGTTTATAACTGAAATAAAAATGCTATAAGTAATATTTAATAATATTTATTTTTGATTTCGTCAACGCTTAAAATTTAAATTACAAATAACTGTACATTCGTCGTTTTATTTTAATCTTATTTATAGTATGACGACCACTGAAACTCGTCATCGTAACTGTAACCGTTTTCCACTTTTACTTCTTTTGGTCTTGTCTCATGTTTAGGTTTCTCAGTTGTGCTTTCAGTGGTGTTGCATTTACTGGTTGTACCTGATTCTTCATCCTTCACGAATTCAACGACTCCGTCAAATATTATCTGGAAAATATCTGCTAGCGAATATTTGCCAAGTTTCTTTATGAAACGTACTTTACAGTCTTGAATGATCTGTTTTATATATTCGAGAATTTGAAAGAGTAATTCGAAAATTATTTCTTTAACTTGCCCCTTTATCATTGTCACGAAAGGCAAAATTGAAGATATATCCGTGGATGTATTTGTATCTGAGTTCGATATATGATTTTTAGAATCTTCATATTGTAGAGAAAAACCTGTAGTTGTGTATATACTTTGGATAGCAAAACACGCGACGATTGTTAATACAATTTTTTGATTCATCTGAAAGAATATAAGTATGTCAATAAAATATTCATTCATGCTTTATTTACAGCCTATATAAACTTTACTGCTAAACATAGGTCTTCGTATAGATTCCCCGATAGGGGTGATATTAGGCATGGTTGCCTCGCTTGGCGGACGGGTTGGCCACCGCGGTTTTATAATATTATTGGGTTTTTACCAGGAAAAGCCCAACAGCAACAGCAGGCAACATGCCAATCTCCTGTTTCGGTTTTCTTCTGTCGTATCCTATAACATGCACGCTATTATGCGGAGTAATGGATTCTCTAACACCGCCACTACACGAAGAAGAAAGAAAATATGAAACAGTCTGAAAACTTACAACTTCGTGATTTTTAGTTTGTGACAGCAATCAAACTAACTTAAAAATTAAAATTTTGAAAAAAAAACAATAAAACTGTTCAAAAAACTAAAAAGAATAAAATTATTTCCATGCATTTTAATTCTGAAGTCTATGCTGGTGGTGCTTATTCTACTTTATTAATAAATAAACGTTTATTTAATGACCCTTTTGAGTGTACTAAGTAATATTAAAACGACTAGAATATAATCTAAATAATTATATTAAAAATGAGGATTTCCGCAGTAGAACCAGAGCGACCGACATAGCCCAACGGATTAGTAAGCTGAAGTGGCAATGGGCCGGCCATATAGCTCGAAGAACCGATAACCGTTGGGGAAAACAGGTTCTCGAGTGGCAGCTTCGTACCGGTTGGCGATGTGTAGGGCGTAACCCCCCCCCCCCCCCCACTAGATGGAGTGACAACCTGGTAAGACATGCAGGAAGTCGATGGATGCAGGTGGCTCAGGACCGTGCTTTGTGGCATACCTTGGGGGAGGCCTATGTTCAGCAGTGGACTTGTGAAGGGCTGTAATGATGATGATGATGATGAATTATATTAAGACTGCGTGTATGTGGGACTTCCCGTGAAGTAAAATCTATTTAATACAAAATAATAAAGAAAAATAATTATAATCGGTTTGCAATTGACAAAGATATCGCGTAATATACAAAAAAACATACAACCATGTTGAGGATATTCTCCTTATTTAGAAATCGGCTAGAAACTTAACGTTTCGTTTTAAGTGAACCTGAAATGAAATACCGGACCCTCTGAGCTTTTCCTTGGTTTGAATGCAATATTACACTCTTTATAAGTCGAGCAATAAAGCGGCACGGCCGTACCATACTTTTCTCGAAGCAATTCAGGTCATTTTCGACCCCCTATAACTTCGTAGTGGATAAAACTAGAAGCCTGAATTTTCAGTAACCGACTAGGCATTGTATAAACATGGTATATTTCGGATTTCATTCAATTTGAATCAGTAGTTTAAGAATTATAACTAGTCAAAATTTCTTAATTTTGTCACTCACTGACTGACCGATCATCAAAACTCTAAGGCACTTCTAGCAGATATAGAAGCTTAAAATTTAGAACACAATTAGAGTTTAGTGTATAAATCAAGGAAAACTAAAATATTTTTAAATTTCAGTCCAGTTTTCTAGATACATCAACTGCATAAATAACTTTGTAATCCCATATAAATTTATAGAATTACAAAGTTACGTTTGCAGTGAATGAATCAGTCTTCTTGTATACGTATGGTCATTATAGATGTAGATAGGTACGTTGTTGGTATTCAAGAAGTAGAAGGTACCGGAAAGGAAAAAAAACTAGGACTATCTTGTCTACAAAAAGAAATGAGATGCCATCAAAAACATAACTTGTAAAAAAAACCAAGTCTTGCAACTCAGTTCTTCTACCGTAAAAAGTTGTGAGATCCATGTAATACCAAGTCTGTTAATTTATTCAGTCCCTACTTAAGGGTCCTTCTGTTTTAAGTTATTATGAAATTAGCTAACCTAACAACATTTTATAGTGACCATACCAATGTTAAAAATCTTTTATGTTTAAATATATAGATTGACTTGGCCATCACATGAAAACGCAATGTATCTCATAAGTAATACATATTATATTAAATTAGATTGCTTAATGCGATTGTCAAGTCAATCTACGTATTTAAAACATAAAAGATTTTTAACATTGGTATGGTCACTATAAAATGTTGTTAGGTTAGCTAATTACATAATAACTTAAAACAGAAGAACCCTTAAGTAGGGACTGAATAAATTAACAGACTTGGTATTACATGGATCTCACAACCTTTTACGGTAGAAGAACTGAGTTGCGAGACTTGTTTTTTTTACAAGTTATGTTTTTGATGGCATGGTAATTTCACGAATCGTTTTAAATATTTATAACTGAAATATGTTATCATTTATCAGCACCAAAAATATTATATAATCGCGGTTAAGTTTAATACAGTGTATAAACCAAAACAGTATCAACATTATAATCCCTTATTATCACAGAGCAGCATGAGCCACCGGCCTCCGCACGGGTCTGCCGGTGGAAAATTTTGCTCTGTGCTTATTACATGAACATTGATCATTAATTCTAGCATGAATTTGCACTAACTTTCTCGTATCTCGTATTTTACATATGGTCGTTCACCATGCAAAATCACGAATATATGAAAAAAAAACTACTTTACTGGATACTAAAAAAAAAACTAAATTATGTTACTTAAAGTTATCCTTTTTACTCTATGTATATAAGGTTACGAGCTATATTATATATCTTCGTACATTGTATATATTTAATAATTTATATATTTATTATTATTTATATTTATATAGGCGAATTTAACTGTGTAATTTCATTTGGAGAAAAAATATTTTTAGGAAAATGTCCCTTTCGATGCATTGAATGCTAAAACGACTATTGTATATTTCAGCATTTAATTAGAATAAATATCATGAAAAAATGTTAAAACTGAAGTCTCTACGTAACCATACATTGTTTGGCCAATAACACAATCTTTTAAACACTTCCTTGTCCTAATGACGTTTGTAGTAATAAAAATAAAAGAATTTCACAAAGAACAAAAATAAAAAGGTTTTATTTACATTGTTATTGTGTTTATTATGTATATTATTACATTAAGACAGTAATTAGTCTGTCATTAAGTACACAGGAAAACATAAACTGGATAATTTTACCCAAAATAGGATTATTTTCAAACAAATAATTGCATAATTTTATATTTCTTTCATTACGTTACTACCATTTTTAAGCAAAATCAAAATATCATATGAAAAGTGAGTAATTATTAAACTTAGCAGACAAGCTTTATAAATTAAGCAGTAAGGACAGCGGTTCAGGTTAATAACGTCATTACATTACTTTCAAACTTCTATTAATATATTTTTAAACTTATTATATTTTGCATTTCCTGCTTATAAAAACCTATAATATTTTCCAATTTCTTAGAACTTAGTGTGATCAGAGCATCGAGTTTTGCCTTTTCGCGAAGCGATAGCTACTCGATTTTTGTAGAAATATAAATATAGTATAAGATATTAGAAAAATAGCCTCCGAATCGACTAATGACGTATTTATGTTAATATTAAAGTATCTAATGGAGCTAACGTCTGTTTAATCAAACATGTGTATTTTTACATAAATGATAGTGTAGGGTTTAGTTGAGAAATTATCGCCGTCGCCTAAACTGTATCCTAAAATACTTTTGAGTTTATTGCTTAAATCTGAATTTGGGCACGGGTAGGTTAATACGAGGAAGTGCATGTGTTAGTGTATACTTCAGTAAATATTATACTCTAGGAGATATAGTTACATAGACATTAACCAGACGAGAAAGTACTATCGCTAACAAAGTTAAAAATGGTTTTTGCTAATATTATCGCTCAAGATTTACCAATAAAAACAATTTAGTTAAAAAAAACATTTTACACCAACATTGTATATACAATAGAATTACAATAGTATATATATATATAAGAACTCACTTTAACGCAGTATTTCTCCTGGTTCAAGCTTATTCTTCCAGAAGTAATGAACGACTGGCAAATGTTTCTAACACGTAGTGCACAACAGTATTGATCATTACTATAGTGACTGCATAGCAAATGAATCGTTTTTATATAACATTTTTTTGAAACGATTAGTTAAATTAACAGTCATTTTATGTAGTTAGTCTAATATAATAAATCTAATTTGACGATTACGCAAAAAATATTTAATGGATTTTCATAAAGTGATTACCAATGACTGACATTATAAACAAAAGCCACAAAGAACGATATCAGTGAGGATTATTTTAATATTTTTTTAGTGAATTTATGTAATATTAGAAAATTAAATCTTTATTTTAAATTTTTCGTTGCGCATTGAAACATCTGGCTGTGGCACTTCGGTGTTTTGGATTTGAATACGTCTGATAAACTGCCCCAACACTGCGAATTCTTTTTTGTCTTCAAAAGCCTTTCTTAATCTACTAAGCCTTTTGAATAAAAAATGTAGCTCGTAACTCTAAAGATATGTACAAAATCACTACGCTCAATTCAGATTTATTTGGCTTGAAGATATAGTTTCCTTTAGTTTTAGTTCAGGCAGAGCACTCGTTACTTCCTACTAGTGCGTATCAGCAAAAACTCTCAGCCCAGATTGGGGAAAGAGTCTAATGAAATAATTACAGACATTTCTTAGTCCTCAACACAAAAACGAGTAGCTACTTACTAGCAAGTATCTATAACTTTGCTAAAATTGTTCTTTTCCGTTCATTTTTTTCTAAATAGTGTAATTAATTGCCCCCGCAGCCAACATAGCTTACTTCATAAGTTTTGACCATTTAATAATACATTTTCATTTTTTTTCTATTAGGCGTAATATCATAAATTTTTTAAAATTTTTGTATTCTTTCGCTCTTTTTGCACCTGTTTGTCCCGTATAGGAACAGCCATCCGCACTATTATCTGCAATAAAACGTACGGTATCAGCAAAATCGTCCCGGTTCTTCTCACTCAAGATATTTGTAATACTAATTTTATTAAACTGCAACATATCGCTCTAAGAAACTTTTCTTATGCTTAAATAACATATTTTCGCTCTATC